AAGAACAAACAGCATTTATTTTTTATCAATCTCCCTGGGTGTTTGTCTGAGAAAATCACTTTCACCATGACTTTTCATTATCTCTACTTGCCGGTGAAAATTTTGTGGTCATCGCAAGTATTATAATTTTTCAAATAAACATACTCTTGAAAATAATCCCCAGCTTCTAAATTCACTATGAACAAAAAACAGTCTGTAAAAATAAACATTTATAGGTATATTGTGCATACACCATGTATACGTGGATAATCTTTCTCCTAAATCGCTTCCTGTCGGTAAACCAACCACCTGTTAGCCCTTGCCTTCATTGTTTTAAAGTGTCACCTAAATTCTTAAAGGGTAATCAACTTTAAAAATTTTATGGTATTTCTAGCTGAGTTCAAGTTTCATTGTCATACAAGAACAATGTCTGCATAAAACAATGACTGTTTATTTAGGTAAAGGTACAGAATATATACCCCAATATAGGACATAAAATAACAAAAACTTATCATTTTTATTTTTAAAAAAAACGCATATGTATCGGTAAATAATTGGTTTATAAAAAAATCTATATATTCTGATAGGATTATTATGGAGTACTTAAAAGAACCTTTTTTTTCTTACCAGAAAAAAATTAAATGTTATAAACACTATAATTTTACATTGCAGCAACTTTTTAAAAGAACTTTTATTGAAGTAGTGCCATATATCCTACCAAAAGGGTTAATTGCCTTACATATACACAAACTTGTACAAATCAAAAGCACAAACATATGTGCAAAACAAATTTCAATTTCATTACATAATGCTATTTAGTGGCAGAGTTTGAAACAACTTCATGACTTGCTTTCAAAAAATAATCCAACCAAACTTAGTAATCAAAAGAAGGGTGAGAGTTTCCTTAGATCACTTTCAAACAATGCATTAAAATGGAATTTGGAAGCCTGGTACTTAATCTTAGCACACACACAATGTCAGTTTACATATCAGGAACTGTGTCAACAAAGCAATGACTGGACATTTCCGTTCACCCGTGGTCCACATTTTTGCTATTGACTTGATCTATTTGAAATGATCTCAAAATCCAAAAAATTCCCAATAAAAATTTGTCCTTGTATCTTTAATTAAGGCTTCAGACTGCCATGTTTGCTTCTCAGATTGGATTATGAATTCTGCTTTCAATCTTTTGAAAGAAAAATTAGATTCTACCATGCATACTCAAACACAAGATTTTTGGACTATTAAAATCTATTTAAAGTTTTGAAAATGATAAAAAGTTAACAAATACATGTGATATACTTTTTTCATACATATGTCCACCCCCTACAAACCCTGACAATGCTTTAGTTCAATATTTACCCTCTATGTAAGGTTAAAACACCCTCTTAATAGCAGCATTGTTATGTCAATTAAGACACAAGTACATGTACTTATTCTTGACCCATTATTTGGGTGTTATTTTCATATCTCTTCACACTTAAATAGCACTTTCAAACTTTAATAATAGCTAAAAAAATGTTATTCCACTTTCTTCCAATATAAGATAGAGAGAGAGACTCTACTAATTTGTTACTTAAAAATTTACTAATCTAGGGTAGGTCCTGTTCTATGACGTACTTGTCTCCCCTGAATACAGAGCCGGCTCATGACAGATTTACGTACAGTGGGGTGTTAATATTACAGTCTGTTTGGATAAAACGTGTTGATCTTGACTCGTACAATTCAAAACATCAGGGTCAACTACCTGTCTTGGAGTGGTACTAACATAACAGTATACAGTAAAAACACAAACAAGACCTGCCAGGGTTTATAGACTAACAGTAGTATATGTATATACAAACACCAAAATAGAATGCTGTTAAAAAAGAATAATTGGATGATTATTGAATCATTAGCAGTGTACTTTTGGTGCTTTTACAATACTTTAATGCAATACATTATTTACAAGTGACTATAATCAAACTACATGGTAACGGTTTCCTCTGAAAGTGAAAACAAAGTACTGCAGTAATAATCGTAATAATTTTAAGAGCATCTGAGTCTACCAGTGGAACATTTATATGATTATTTAGTAAAGCAGGATTTTTCTTTGATGGCTCCGGGTTGATTTTATCATCCTGAAAAATTACTTTATTTCACATCTGCACTCTAAAGTAATAACATTAGCCATATTTTTATATGATTACCAAACAACGATCTGGGAAATTGTTAGTTCTCACGGGACCTCAGCACTGCAATCATATATTTCTTTAAAAGTGCATCTTAAAAATAATTTATATTAAGAATCTTAAAAGAAAATGTCCACATTTACACATATGGTACTTGAATACATAGCTTTTGCCTTACCTGGAATTTCTTGCGAGCAGGTTCATAAAGCATGGTCAGAGATTTGAAAAAGTAACAGAGTTCTGCCATTATAAATGATTATTCCTCTTAAATGCTGGATTCACAATTCACAATCTGTCCAAGTTAAATGGGCTTTCATATCGCATGATAACACAGGTAAATAAGGGATCGCTTCCCTTTTACTCTGTGAACTGTACCAGAATATTGATAAATTCCTATACCTCCATGATTATGGTCCAAAATCTATCTGGACCTTCTAAAAAGAAACTTGCTGTTGACCAATGTACCAAATCTTGGGTCAAAGAAATATCTACTGGTTCTATGTCAAACTGTTTTGCTGACTGAAGCAAACAAAACATGGGATATTCTGCCAAATTCTGCAGAGTGAATATTTGCTTATGCTATTCACTGTTTTCACAAGAAACTAAATTTGCCAATTATGTGTATGTAAAGATAAAGCCTTATATCTCAATCAGATGTGCTAAGCCCAATGATTGGTTTAAATCGTTTTTAACGCTGGAGTCAGTGACCACACACCACTGCAATCCGGCTGCCTCTCCTGATTAAAGACCATAAAGCTTTGTCTATCAGGCAAACAGACTTTTTAAACTGCTAATCTTCTAAATCTGCCAGGTCTAAACAGTTCACCACATAACAATACCCTAATAATGCCTTGTTTTGGCCTATTGTCCTTCAGTCAATATCAGACCATTGGGCTTTCTATTTCCAAAACTCTCAAGAACTTCAAGATAATTAAACAAGCTTTGTGAGAAATAATCTCGAAAACCTTAATCCATCATCTAATACACATACAAATTTCTTACACGTTATTTTACAGTAGTTTTCTCTGATTATTTATTAATACTAAGAGATTAGGGATTTAAAGAAGGCACTTATACAACTGCATGGTTAATGATTTAATCTTTGTAAACTGACCTTTAACCTCCATAAAATATTCACCAATGACATCCACTTTATCCTATCATGTACTGCACAACCTCAAACTCTTACGTATTTTATCCCCTTTAAATCCCCCCATTAAAAATGTATATTCTAAAAAATAAAATGATCATCAGTAATCCTCGAATACTGCTGTTTTCTTAATATAAAGGGTACCTGCTCTTCTACAGAAACCTGATGACGGTATAAGTTCATGCAATTTATCATACAGTTTAACATTATAGTTTAAATGGTGGTAAATTTACTACTTCTTATCAACAAAATTATCAAAATTAGCTTTTTAAAATAGCTACATTTAACATGAATCAGATATGGATAGGACTTCCCTTGTTCTCTCTAACATTAAACAATCTCACTACAGAACAGACTGAAGTCTCTATAAAATACATTCTGTGTGGGGTCCAAAGGCTTCCATTCACAATTATTCTTCTAATACATGATACCTCCCAAACAAATCACACAAGATTACAAATGTGAACATTAACACCCACTTCAAATGAAAGAGCACTTTAACATGCAAACAAATGCTGCAGAAAAACCAACATCAAAAACAAAGAATAATAGCGTTTAACTTCTTGCCAGTAAACCAGTTTAGAATATCAGCTGATTCAGTCTTGTATCAGACCACAGGCATTCCAAATTCCTCCAGAAAATCAAATTTAAAAATGCATGACATTGTAACACATCTGTCATGCCGTGTTATAAAAAGTACAAGTTGGAAATTTAATCAAAGGTTATCAAGAGTCGTATCATTTGATCAAACTGATAACTAATGGGATAAATCCTAATTCATTTGGATAGTTTATCAGATTTCAATTCATTTAATAACATTCTGTTAATCTCACGGTTATAAGAAACTATGAAACCATGAAATCATACTTTGCCACCAAGGGTACTCTGCTCCCCAATATTAAATGCTTACATAGGGTAGCGAGGATCAGAAAACCACTATATTTATCTCCCTTTGCATGCTATTTTCCATGCTTGCAAGTGGCATGTAAGAGTTGCCTTTCCTTCTTCCTACAAAATCTATATTCATCAACAAAGTCTGCTGATACTAGATAGATGCATTGTCTGGATGCAAGGTGGTATTTGAGATTCTGGTTACTTGAGAAATGGACCTGCTTAAAAAAAAAAAAAAAACTTTGTCTTGGGATGCTGACAGCAATGCTGATGCTTTTGGGTATATTTGTATCATATTCTCTATTCTACTCCCATGATTAATTTATTGATTCATAGAATCATTGAAAAAAGAAAATTAAAATTCAATGCAAAATATTTGTTCTTGAAATTTCTTTTGTTTTTGCTCATTAATAAAAGGATAAGGTGTTGTAATTTAACAGCCAGATTTGGCCCCTAGCTTATTTGATATAAAAATCAAAACAGTTAAAATTGTGATAGTTTGTCATTAAAAACTTGAAATGATACTTTTTTATAACCAGCATTGATTTTGATTTAAATCATACAAGGAGGCCACAAAAGAGTTACAAATAAGAACATTTTAAATTACCAAATTTCCTTAATTCTGATGAAATTAGGTGAAATTTGAAATATTTTACCTAGCTTGTAAAACATAAAGCACAAGCTTGCCATTTTATAAATTAATGAATTATTGTTCCAGTCTTAAAAACATTCCAAACCCGGGGCCATTAAGGGAGCTTAGCCTTATATCTTGTCTTATGAATAAAGTTAATAAATGTTAAAGGACTTACTGTAACTGGAGTCTTTTTTCTCATCTGGACTGGTTCTCCTTGCTGTTTGACTGGTTCTTGACCATCTTTTTCCTCTTCACTAGGACTGGATGCCTGTTCCACAGTCTCTTTCCCAGAGTCTTGTTCTTTGGGAGAAGGACTAGTCTTCTTGTTCCCTAATTTTTTATTTTCCTCCGGACTGTCTGGGGAGGAGGAGGAGGAGGACACTGGTAAGGGTATTGTGTAATGCTGAAGAAGCCAAGAGCGAGATTTCATGCGATCAGGAGGAGGGGGGCTTGACTGGAATTTAGGAGGAAGTGTTCCATTCATATCAACATTTATGAAATTCTTATTCTTATACTGGTAAGCACAGTATTTCTTGTGCATCTCATCTAGAAGTGATGTTTTTGAAGGAAGTGTTTGATAGCCATTTTCAATATGTCTGTTATTCAGTTGCTCTGCAACTGGGGCATACAAAATCTTCCATTTATTGGCCGTTGATCCATGCCAAGTTTGTGACACATCCTTTTTTAGAAATGCATCTTCCTGTCTTTTTAATTCCATCTCCATTTCAACAGTATCCATGTTGTTGATCATGTTCTGTGCATTATTACAATAAATCTCATTGGCTGGCAATCTGGGGCGATTTCTACCTTTAGCAGAAGGTTTCCTGCGAAACAAAACAGGACTTGTGGATGCCACCAAAACCTGCATTTCTGGTGACTGATCATAGATATATGTCCCCATCCTTTTTCCTCTGACTAACTTTTCTGGGAAGTTTATAGGTTTCTTAGCTGGGGCTTTGCTTGCCACATCTCCACCACTTTTGTTTCGTTTCCTTGGCCGTTCTAGGGAGTCTGTAGTGTTAGTTCCCTGTGAAACATGTTTACTAGACCTACTTGTCACTTCAATATCTTCAAAAGGATTACTGTTTTCATCAAATGAAGTCTGAACAGATGTAGTAGACAAGCTTCGTCTATGACGAGGACTAGGGGTTGACTTTGGTTGTGATTTGCTTAATGTCTGACTTGCATTCGCATTTTCATTTCTTGGATTTAAACTTTTATTCTCATTGTAGAAATTAGAATTTTCCTCTGGATAATAACCACTGACACTAACGCTACGTCGTATCTTCAGATGATGCTGTGGAAGATCTGGTGTTGTGTTGGATCTGTGAAGAGCCTTGTGTTCTTTAAGAGTCTGTTGAATGAGGTGTTCACTCCTGTCAACTGATGGGAGAAAATTTGGTGTGGTAGGGACACAGCTCTCCCCGTTTACCTGTGGGAGAGGATTTAAGGAGGTATGGGTACCGTCCACTAGGTCCTTGCTGGAATTACAACTGTTTCTGTCATCATTCTCAGAGACTGAAGGCTGCAGTTCAAACTCAAAAAACTTCTGAAAAAAATATAAAAATAGTTATGTTAAAAACAGATCTAAAATTGTCACATTTAACATTCAAAGGGCAGCAACTCTTACGGTACTCATCCTACTAAATACACTTTTGGTTGATTGAGTACCATATTTGGAACAGATATTTTTGTATTATTTGCTATATTAGTGTATGTTTATCATAAGGAGTACAAGTTATTTTTGTTTCATTGACTTGTGTTTTCATAACATAAGTACAATTTGAATCCCTGTATATGATAATAATCACGGCCTTGTTGATCCAAGCAGAAATAACAAGGTGATAGAAGTAACTGATAACCAACTCAAATACACCATATCAATATCTAATCTAAACTGCCATGTTACACCTTACAACAAATATGTTTACTTTAATGGGTTGTACTTACAAGGAAAGTATAGCATAAAAAGGACAAAATGTGTCACTTAATGGAGTGATATAAAAATTGGAATGGACCCATTTATCATCTTAGATAGAGACTGGATACATGTCCTGCTAAAGAGCTAAAGAAAGCAATCTCAAAAAAAATAAAATAAAAACAAGATGTGTTTGTGAAACACTGATGCTCCCATATGGCAGCTTATAGTAAAGATAAAAGTTTCTCAAATGCAATTCAGACTCCAATGTCAAGAGATTAAAAATGTTGTTACCCAAAGAAAGAACATGTGTCAATTGATATAACTGGTAAATATGAAAGCCCAAGAACCAAGAATTCAAAAAGTTAAGGTCAAGGCTAATATTTTCTAAATGTGGGTCAAACTTCAAGGTCAAGGGGTCAAAATTAATGGTATGCAGGTGAAGACCTTGTCATAACCTATAGTATAGGTCCTATACACATGCAAAATATAAATGCCCTAGCACCAATTGTTTAAGAGTAATGGTGAAGGTTTAAGTTTTTCAAAAGTAGGTAAAATTCCAAGGTCAAGGTCAAAAGGTCAAAATTGTTGGTATCCCAAAGAAGGCCTTTTCACAAGGAATATACCTGTGAAGTATTAACTGTTCAAAAGTTATGGCCAAGGTTAAAGTTTTTTAGAAGTGGGTCAAACTCTAAGGTCAAGGTCAAAAATATTTACACTCATGGAAAGGTCTTGTCACGATGAATACACAAGTGAAATACGAGAGCCCTAGCACCAACTGTTCAAAAGTTGGATAAATTTTTGCAAAAGTGGGTCAAACTCCAAGGTCAAGAGGTCAAATATGTTGGTACCCATAGAAAGTCTTGTCACAAGGAATACACATGTGAAATATGAAAGCCATAGCTCCAACCAATCAAAAGTTATTGGCAATGTTAAAGTTTTTGCAGACAAACAGACGGACAGGGCAAAAAAACTATATACCCCTGAATCTTCGATTACATGGGCATAGAATAAAAAATAAAAATAAAAAAGGTACAATGCTCACCTAAACAAAATTTTCTTCCTGACTACAAAGAGTAATCAATGTGTATCTTAACTTACATTGACCTTACACTAGATGCAAAGGTTTTTAGTATCAGGAATTCTTATCGCTAAGCTATATACATATTGACTGACCAAAAGTTTACAAATTGTATCTTTTTTTGGTACTGAGAGAGTTCATTCACTTCGCCATATTCATCTGTAAATTTTTCACTCCCTAAAGTGAAAAAAAAACTTACCCTAGCCTTTCTCCCACAACTATGATGTTCTCAAGAATAAGATTTTATGGATTTCCCTTCAAATTCCTATGTAAAACAAACCAATTCTTGCTCTAGGGGCCATGAAAAGAGCAAGACAATAATCTATACTGGATTGGGATCTTTGCATGCTTTTGATCAGCTATCCTCTTTAAAATTTTCTTTTGCATTTTTTCCTGCACATTTTTATGACAAACATTTACCCCATAATTTAACATGATTTAAACAAACTTGAATCAACATTACAAGGAATTGCCTGCATAATAATAGGACCAATTATTTTCCTGCAGGACCAAATGTTAAGTCACACAGTTTCTTATACACCTCAACATAATATTTAGGTGGCTGATAAGGGCTCCACCCCTTGGAATCTGAGCTATACTATAGGAATGTCTTTACTTTCCCCTGCTGACTCTAATTTCCTGATCCTAATGACCCAATGATGGGCTTCTGTGTTGATTTTCAGAGAAAATAAAACAATCACTGCTGCCAAAGTGTTTTTTCAATAAGACAAGTCAACATACCACCATATGAAAAACAACTTAATCAACAAATCAAAGACCAGAACTTCATTTTTACCTGGAAACAGAACACTAAGGTTATGACATTCCACCAGACCTTACCAGTCCATCAGGTTACCTCTGTTCACCTGTTTATTAGTATATTGTTCCCCCCCAAATTAATTTTTAATCCACTCCCTTGATTGCTTTCTTTCCTCCCTTTGTATATTATTCATGCACTCAAAAGGTAACAGACACAACAAGAGAAGCCGATGAATATTAATAAACAAGTAATCTAAAATGGTTTACATAAACTGAGTACACTAAAAGCTGAATTGGCCTTGATCCTTAATCATCTTACAGCAGCACACACCCAGAATCTGTTTATAAATTCTAATCACTGGAAAAAATGTGCAGCAGGGCTGACAGGTTAGATATAAATAAACTAAGTTAATAAACAGTTTAACACTGCTAAAAATAGAAACATACAATCAGTCCTTTAGTGTAATTATCACCTGTAGCTCCTGATTAACTTAATTCAACAACATGCAATTAGCATATTTAGTAATTTAGACTTCCATTTCTAGATCAAATTCCTACATATCATTCCTTATGTTTGAATCATATTCGTTTGAGAATCTTTCATTCATGATATTAGGATGCCATCAGCTGCTGATGGAGGATTGCAAATTTAGATCTGTACTCGGCACTTACAGTCATTGAGCAGTGAGGGATTTTTTTCATGCCAGCACCTACTGTGACATGGGACCTTGGTTTATACAGTCTCATCTGAAGGATCGGTTTCCACATGATGCAGTAGGATTTGAACCAGTGACATATGAATTAACTCCTTACTCTCTAGAAAGAACCTCTATGACCACTGCGTCAAGCATAATACCGTTTCCTGAAGTTCTTAAGTTAATGTACATTATGGCATATTTTTCAAGATATATTCAAGAATGCAGTTTTTAAAGTTTCGATAAATGTATGTTCTCTATTTTTACTAACATTCTTTTATTTTGGCATCTAAAATAATTTAAAAAAAAAAACAAAAAAAAAACAGAGGAAATATGGGGGAAAAGATATTTGAAATAAAACACATCTTCTCTACAGACTCCCCTATTAACAAAGAATTTTTGCAGTATTAATTTTAATAAACAATTTTTCACTTTCATTTCTGAAAATTTCTTATTTATATCCATTTTTTTTTTCTACAAAGATTATGTAGAAAATGGCTGAGGAATTTCAAAACATTTCTTATAAATCATTCTTTTCAGATTATTTATATTTTCAGCCAGTATATCTGCATTTTACACATGCAGAATACTTCAACGTAAATTCTGAATGGTACTTCATTTTATACCATATTGTAGAGAAAATCAATCAAAAAATGTAAACTACCAGAAAAGACCTGAGTTCTAGTTTAGGGTGTTTTGAACTGAAAGAGAGAGAGAGAGAGGGTTCAGTTTTGCTAAGGGAGTATTTAATTCTAAACCACATGAGGACCCTTTCCTGCTTCATGGTTTCATTGCTTTACTTGACAAATAACTGACAACAGTAGAAAAATAAGATGATCTTAGAGGACAGTGATTGATGGATTGTGAAAAGTTCATATGATGAACCTTGAACAAGGTTAAAATAAATGACATTGATTGTCTTTGTGTCTCTAATGAAAAATCCTTCACCTCATAATGATCACAGTACAGGTACTCCACTGATGACGAAGGTCAAAAACTGGGGACAAGCAGTGTACATTAGGGCATAGCAGACTTATAGTGTTGACTGTGTCCAGTATTGGGGGCTGGACAGATGGGACATGATCAATGCCATTAATTGTGTAAATGTGGTCTTCAAACCTCATCAATGAAAAGAAAATAACCCTGTAGTGTTTTTCTGTACCTGGACAGGTGGTCATCCAATGACTGGACAAATTCTACGGACAATGTACTACAGAGAAGTGACCACAAAGATAAAATCAGACTTCAGAGATACACATAACCTTTACAGGGCAGTTTTTTTACCTTGTCTAAATAAGCTTATGGTGTAATTAATTTATACAGAGTCATTTACTGTCAAATCCTATCTGCAGGAGGGGGATTACTTTTCCATTATTTGGGGATTCTGTGTTGTAACTCATCTGTTTGGTTTATACATGTACTTCACAATATAAATTGTACTAAATGTACCGAGGGCTAAGGTAACTGTACTAATCAAACTACATACAAAGTCATCTAACCTAACAGCATCATCATGTGTTATAGGTATCAGTGGCTCATTTTGTCATTAGTACTGGTGTAGGTGTTCCTATGTAATTGTGCTTCAGGGACAGGTTTTGTGAGAATTAAATGTAATTCAGCCCTTCAGCTTATTTGTTGAGAAATCACCCTAAAGTTTAAGTTAGCTTATCATGAAATAAATACATTCAAAAACAGAAAAAGTCCCCCGCATGGTGCAGTGGAATAGGGCGTTAGCTCTAGAGTTGCGGAGTAAGGAGTTGATCCTTACTTCCAGGTTCAAATCCCACTGTGGGACGTGGAGTCTGGTCCTTCGGATGAGACCATATTTATAAATCGAGGTCCCATGTCACAGTAGCTGCTGGCACATAAAAGTTCCCTCACTGCCCAAAGGCTGTAAGTGCTGATTACAGGACTAAATTTGCAGCTCTCCACCAGCAAGGGTGCTGTCTCAATATGGAAGGGATGTTAAACAAACAAACAAAAATATAAAAACATGCACATTAAACAGAAGAAATGTTTTACATATACTGGAATGTAACAATACTTCCATCAAAATAAAATATTGGCAAGGAGAAACAAAATTCTCCTACAGTGACAAAACAGGATAAAATTTACCAAGATTCAAACAAAGTTCTATGTTTTAAAGTGTAACAAGCGTGTAACCTTATGTATTTTCTTTAATCTGTTTAAACCTGATTTAATGATGCTTTAGCTATCAATCTAATTAAAATTAGATGTTCCAAATCCGCTATCGCTTCTCAAACATCTAACAACATCCCATTCGGGGTCACGTCAGAGCGACCTTTCGATTATGAATAAACATAAAAATTTGGCCAATCAGATTCAACCTTCTGTATTCAATTCTAAAATTAGTTCCACGGCTACATCTCTATATTATTGATGCTCAGTAGACTGTCTTACGTTGAATTAAAGTAATTTTGGTATAAATTGAACGTATAGTCCGCCAATCTGACATTCTTACCTGAATAACGCAAACGAAAATGCACAAACTACTATATATCCCGCAAGTCACATTCATATATAGCACGGTCTTTACCATGCATATTTTGTTTACTACGAAACCTCTCGGGCGTTTAGGTTTGGCAGTAAAAAAAAGAAACGCATCCGAACTATGAGCCAAGATTTCGACGACGGCGATTTCATTGGGTAATCGAAAGGTCGCTGTGACGTGACCCCGAATGGGCTGTTGTTAGATGTTTGAGAAGCGATAGCGGATTCAGAACATCTAATTTTAATTAGATTGCTTTAGCTATAAAACTCTTAATGGTAGTTAATCAAGCAAGGCCAATGGCTACCAGTCTAATACATGTACATAATTAAGAGGCAATGAACTAGTGATAAAAAGGAATTATCACCCAGTCTAGACAAATTTAATGTCACCGGAAAACTGCCATAGACTAAACATATATTGGAAATACCTAAACACCAGCTTGTAAACTTAGGTCCAATTCTATGTATACCCCTTTCATAAGATTTAGTGTCATGAATTGGCATATATATATAAAGAGAGAACTTTAAACATTTTAAATATAAAACATGCAGTTTTTAAGAATTTAGATTTTATAATACAGTTACAGATTTGAAAGTTTCATATAAGCTTTCAAATAAATTTTTAATAGTAGATATATAGAAAAAATATTGATATCTAATAAGTCAACTGCAATGGATGATTGTGAAGAAACCAATTAAATCATATCTGCTTGACCTTTATAATCAAGATGACAGAAAGCCTAAACTTTAAATCTCATCTTTACCAAAACAAAAAGCTCGTAGATCTAAAGAACACAAAGATATGATAAAAAAAAAATAGAAAAAAAGTAAAGGAGCAAACATAAATTAGCCAATTTTATGGGAAAGGGAGGAGATGTAGTCAATGTTTCTTATTTGAAATTCTGGCAGCACTAAGGCCAAATCCATACAAAACAGCTGGATTGGCAGTAAGGCCAAATCCATACAAAACAGCTGGATTGGCAGTAAGCTAGCCAAATCCATACAAAATAGTTGGATTTGGAGTAAAACTGTTTTCTGTTCCAGAAAAAAAACACAGAAATACACAAATAAAGTTAACACAAATAAGTTAATAATATCTTTACAATTTTCCCCAGAATTAATTAGCTACATACTTCATTAAAGAGCTAGAGTAAAGTCTGTAATATTAATTCAGCATCAAATTGTTACTGACCTGGTGAACCAGGGCAAATGTAGCTAATCTCACATCCAATAATAATTACTTATACATCTATATGTAATACTTAGCTTAATATGATAAAGATTGTATAATCCAGCGATAAAATTAGAAGATAGTAATCCAGCCTCCTAAAGCAGAGGAAGGGTTGATCCAATTCACACAATATCTAGATTTATTTACCTAATGCAGACAAAAATGAACATCCTAAATGTAAATGTACAATCCTAGTTGTTTCCCAACCCTAGTCTTTAAAAGATAGAAAAAAGAGTTAATCCAATACTGGATTCTTTTAAGAAACCAAAAATTCCAAAGATACATTGACCATGTTGACAGTGTGTGGTTAAGCATTGAGGAATAAAGATTCTTTCTGGGACCCCCAAGGCCACATACATTTACTAAAATACACATAAGTCAATACATGTATAAAGACAGACATTCAAAAAGAAAACAGAATTTAGGTACCAAAATATAAGTCTGTAAACAAATTTTTCTCTGGATATTAATCCAATGACTGGAGATTGATTATGGTCCCTACTTCAAATGTTTACCAATTTATTTTACGTCCATACAAAGAAATGAACCCAGAAACCCTTACAAACATTCCAAAAATGTTTTTTTCTTATTTTCTTCAGTAGTATTCTAATCTTGCTATGTTTGGCGACTTCTTTGACAGTAAATGACCCAAGACACAATATTTTCACACTGATTCACTCCAATGTTCAGTGTTTACTGTAAAGTATATATAAATAAGAAATAAAACCTATCACACAGTTCTCAAACGACCCCCTACCTAAATATTAGTAAGCCAGCACAATGTTGTGTCTCCTTCAGGGACTTTAATGTGTCCACTTGTGGTTTGAGGAGAGCTTTAACTGAGAGATGAGGGACCCCCCTACATTAAAGAAAGACATGTATGTAGATTTATCATCAAAGGATTAAGCCTGTATGATAAATTTTGTATTTGTCCCCAACAGGTCAAAATAAGAGTTCAAATTTCCACTCAGTTTTCTAATTTCAGAATCTGAAGTTAAACTGAAGTATCTGCAGCTAGCTCTTCAATATGATTGTTGGTCAATGACCAGTAGATGTCTACAAGTGTACTTCCCTTAACCCTAAAGTTAGGGTTCGAACTGTAGATTTTTTTAATATTTCACATCCTTTACAAATCCTTATATTAAAAATGTCAAAATTTAATGAACATCTCTTTGCCTCATAGAGGTTATGGTAATATGATTAAAATTCAAACAAGAATAATTTTCTATGCATTCAATTGATAATTTAAAGCTGGAATAAATTTTATTATCCTCATTTTAAAACATACCAAGGTGCTTCTTTTCTTTTTTGACTTGGAGCTTATAAAATTACACAGCTAATCAATAAAAGTTTGGTTTTCTTTGTGATGACAAGTTTGATATCTGAAATCTTGACCACAAGAACTGAGGTGTGTAATTAAGGCAGTAAATGTCCCACCCATCACCGCATTAAAAACGCTGCTACCCTGAACAAGAACTAACCACAGACCATTTAAATTTCCTATGAGACTCCCTCTACTAGCACTGTGTAGCATCTCCGCACTCCCCATTATAAGGCCATGATGAAAGTTACAACAAACAATAGAGAAATGGCTCGTCCCCCACTGTGAGTGTCAACAAGAACAAGTGTGGTCAATTTGTCTCAGGTGAAAGCGGTTTTTACAGAGTGGCCAGAGGGCATCATGGGAAATAATGGATGAAAATTTGATCAAATTAAGCCTAGTTATAGTTCTCAGTCACTGACTATACAGCCTTTGTTCTCGTTCTGAAGAAGCAAAGTTGACAATATGACACTTTTCCACACATAAAAATCTTGGATCACGAACCTTTTAATACCCTAAAATCTAGTGAGGCCTTGTGCTTCAGGTAAAACAAATTTTATTACAATGATGCCATACTGAAGAAACAGTGGCAATTTTCTCAAGGTTTTTTTAAGTTAAAGATCATCATTTATCAATACAATACTCCCCATTACGTGCAGGCTGCCTTGAATAATTCCATCAACACCTTTTAATGATTTCAGGAGATGTGTATCTGTTAAACACCTGCAGCTTCCTTCCACTGACAGCTTAATACCCACAAAAAAATTACCCCCTCCAAAAAATTAGTAGCCATGTGTCAAGATAGCAGGCATTGACCAAAGAATATAACCTAGCAGGTGCCCCTCCTCAATATTACATATATACAGTATATAAACTGACACTCTGTGAAGCAGTAAGTAGGAATTTGTTTTGTCTAGCAGGTGTCTGTGTGAAGATTCTTACAGAGTTAATGATTTGTTTCATTCAAGGTATCAATGTCAGCTGTGTTACAAATGTCTGTAGAATTAATCTTGTCATGATCAGCAGGCCAAAGTCCTGAAAGGAAATCAGTACTGAGGGTTTTTACATAATTGATTATGTCACTTCTACAAGGATGCACAATGTTTGTCAATATTAACAAGGGTTGTTAACTGTTTACACCAAATTTTGTGTAACCTATAATCATTAATAAAAAACAGTTAATGTTGAAGGTTTATGCTCAATCTTGTACAAAAACAACCATCATATCAAGCTGCAGAGACATTAACCTAAGTTGTGTTCAGTACAAATATGAAATCTCAATGAATATTAAATCCAGGAGAAGAACTTGTGTCATAAATCTGTCATATGATATTTCACTGTCTGCCAAGCCTATTTTTGTGAATGTTAATTTCTACAAGACAAATGCACTATTTAAAAAAAATCTTGTCTTACACTTATTAGGGTTTCTTTTCTTTAAATAGCACTTGAATGTCATTCATAAGGAAAACTAAGAGTTTCTTAATGTTAGTATTTATCTTAAAAGTTGTTGAACCTTGCAAACATTTATCCCTTAAGTTGGAATGGAATACCTGAATTCCAGACCCAAAATAGATCCTAATACATTTTATAATACAGGTATTAATGATGTCTCTCTTCCCTAATCTCTAATTAAAAACACTGCAACTAATGCAAATTTTGTCCACCTTTGTTGAGGAGCAATATTTTAACACTAGCCATATTAAAAGATAACTTCATATAAGAAATATTTTGTGAAAGCCCAATTATTGTAGACAATCTTTCTGTTACCAATTGACTGCAAAAACCTACCATAGAATTTCTCCCCACCAGATGTCTCTCTTGTAACTCCTGAAACACCAATCGGGAGGTGTCGCGATATCGCACCTTACAATTAGACCAATCCATAATGCTCCTATAAGACTAACCGTAATAAACACTGTAAAGTATGATCCACTTATAAGTTCACTATATCACATCCTTATAGACAGCTTGTATACCATCCCAATAACATCCTTCTACAAAGATTGGAAAAAGTGTTCACTCAATATAAAGTTTAATGGTGCAGAAATAGTTTAGTCCATCTGTAACCGCAAGTCTAATGATGAAATCTCTTGTCATTGTCACAATGCACAACGTAAGGAAATCTAGATTAATCCCTCACCGAGCACTTACACAGCATACAGATATAACGTTACAAAAGAGAAACTGAAGACAATATTATGCATAATATGCAAATGACTCTCAGCTCTGGACATAAATTTACAACATTTGGTTTACTTTGGCTCATATATGCTAATTCAATAAAGCAATCGGTATGCAGAATTTGCCATACAATTTTTTTTTCTGGTCATGAAATAATTTGAAGAATTCAATAGGAGTGACAGTCACAAACACTGAAAAGTTGCCAGATACGAAATATGGAAACACAACTTAATTTAATCCTTGGATGAAACAAGAGTGTATTGAGAAATATACTCCTGGATTCCCGCTGTATGGCTGCATTAGTCTGGAGGACAGTGTCCTTGGTGAATGGAAGGACCTCCTTTCCTGGCTTCTCAAACAATCACATTCAGCACATATAAGGTTTTCCCTTCATCAATCATTGAACAAATTGATTGGAGTAATGGGTTTTATTACACAATGTAGCTCTGTTTCATTATAAAATACCTCTCATCAATACTTTATCTATTGCCTGGACCGCTGCTGAAACCCTAGCCTGTAAGTCAATGGTTCTTCTGGTGGATTAACAGCTGGTAATGAGGATCAATATATATCAGTTACAGGGAATCAGTCTCTTGTCTCATGTCCAATATACCTTTAAATGAAGCAGATGTAGCAGACAGGGACCAGATTAATGAAGACCCTTCATAGACTTTTACGTTAGGCTTTTACTCATGTGAAATGTTGGAGCACAATTTATAAACAACTGAATAATTTCTCAGGTGTTGAAAAAATCTGTCATTTAGAGGTCCATGGTAGTTATATTTGCTCCAATGTCATTATAAATTATGAAACTATTTAGTCACCGATTTATAATCCTTGGAAATGTTCCTCCAAATATAGCTGTATGACACAACACATTATTGGTTCGTTATTATACCTGTAGAAAAACTATACGGCTCTTCTCAGCATGTGTGTATCTCAGGACTTGACCTCCTATCTACCTTAGGTATGATCAACTACAATTTAGAATTGTCAAGTACTAACAAGGGGGAGTGTGTACTTCCTCTTCACAGCATAAGAACGAAGCTCATGAATAATTTATAGCAGTCCAATTTTATGATAACCAAACTCTCAGACTGTCCAAACTTCAAGTCAAGTAGATGTAGGTCACACTCCCAAAATATTTTTTTCACACAGGTATTCTCATATGTAGATTCATATTATCCTTCTCTTTGCAAGAAAGGGCATGAAAAATGATACTTGTATTGTGAAGATGGATTTTCTATTCAATGTTTAAAACACACACACAGTTAAATATGTTAATTTGATCCCAAGAGTGTGTCATATAAAAGGAAAGGTCCCCATTTCTGACAATCCATGTCACCTGATGCTGGTGTTGTCCGTTCCCCTGTCCCTACCATCCAGTTACCTGTACAGGTGTGTCTGCCCCACTCACATGTTGTAATCAGCAATATCACTTTAAAATCTACAGTCATTGAATTTCCTTTACAAACTGACTATGATACACAACCATGAACTTACAGTTAAACTCTTCACCATAAAATCCCGTCAGTGTCACTGTTTCATAATAAAAAAGAAAAACAAAAATTAACTTATTTAAATCCACACATTGTTAGAAAAAGATGGCAGCTAGCTAGGACATCAATTTCTCGCGGAATGGAAAAAAAATCATCTCCTTACTTTCCTGTCTCTCACCGTGTTTAAAATTCCAGGTTTTTGTCAGATTCACTCCATATAAAGCACATCTAGTGAATTCATCTGACAGTACCATCCATGCATGCACAGGTAAATCAAGACGTTCTGGGGGCCAGCCTCGTAAACTCCTACCTTGACCTTATCAAACAGCTATAATGATCTCCAAAGAAAATATTTAGCACCATTAGAGAGTTGCTTCTTTGATACTTTGTGGACCTTCACTTCTATTTAGTCAGCACTGGTATTACAATAATATTTAGACTGGAGAATACATTCACATAATCTACCATTTCCTCAGAGTGTCCTCAAAAATTGGTGAAAAAAAGAACATCCAAGTCCAATGTATTGTAAGCTGTGCTCCATTCAGATTTTTTTTCAGGTATTCTGTCAACAGGTATTCCTGCACACAGAGAGTGCCTTGATCCATTTTCATAACATCATTTTTGAACCAGTGACGACATCCCTTAAGGCAGTACACAAAGTCCGCAGTTTTTTAAAAAACATTTCACAAAATCATGCAACTCCATTTTTTTTTTCTTTTTTGTTTGTTCCAGTTAGGTACACTAAGATTTGTCTTAAGTAACAACCACGGACTTGATTAGCATGCCTTCAGGTCAAACAACTTCAATTTCTAGATATGACCTAATTTAAACTCTCCCAATACAGGTAACAAGAATAGATATGGGTTACCCCATATCCAAGATATTCGACTTTTAATTTATTCGACTTTTCATTGTGTTCAGATATGATTTCTAATAAAAAAAACAAGTATTTACTGACAAAACGTCAGAGATACTCAAGCTGTAGAAAGTCAACTATAAAAGTGCCATATACATAAATATCCTAAAATGACATAATATTTAGGCTACTGAGTTTCAACATCTTTTGTTGAATAAAATATGCATATAGTAGGAAACAAACTGCATGTACATATATAATGTTACATGCATGTAGTGACTTTATCACAAAGTTGCACATGCATAAAAGTAGTTTTAATTTCACATAGAACATAAACTAAATATAATTAATCGTTTAATTTTAAAAATGTATTTAACGCCTCACTCATTTTCAGGAATATTTAATCCAAATAGCATGTTACAGGCCTATAGCAACGTTTTCAAAGTGAAAGGGGGGGGGGACTCCCAAAAAATCCCGCGTACTATGGGCCTGTGCTACATGTGTACCATCTAACTTTCCAATGATAGAATCTTCTGTAAAAAAAAATTCAAATCAAGTTCAAGCCGTTATGGATTATCAAAGATAGCCCATTTTCATAAATAACAAAACTTTAGATCTATGAAGGATAGATTTTAATTTATTTTTTTTAATTTTGTGCTATTAAAAAGTACTATCACTCAAAGTATAGGCAGATGTTAAAGATGTTCCAACCTGTCACCTTTTAGAGTAATCAATGAACTCGTCCAGTGATGCATTGACGGCCGTTGTTAAACGCAAAGGAAAGCGCGAGATCGGTTGCGGCTATGGAGCATCACTGAATATTCCTCCACCATATACTGATTTTGAATATACAGACGTTTTGAAGATAAACTTCATTTTTGTTTCTAGAAATGTTTTTATTTACAAAAATAGTACATTTTCGTGTAAGATCGATGACCTTAACTCAGCCCCTCTAGCCCAGTCTAGGGCTTCACCTTGAGTAAAAAACCTGCACTTGTTATGAACTGATAAAACTGGTGTATAGTTCTAAACTTCTTTATGTCCGTAGCAAGTACTGATACCCAGTCTACTGATCTAAGCGTCACTAGGGAACGGTGCACACACCTGTTCTTGCAAGACCAAATAGCCTAGGTCTACACACGTGCGAAGATCTTTCCGAGCTCGGAAAATCACGTTGCTTTGCCGAGAAGTGTTTAGCCATAATAACCATTCCGTTATTTAAAAAAAGAGAGAAAAAACACACACACACAGAGTTAATGATTAACATTCTAACTCAAAAGAAAATATACGGCAATTAACGAACAATAATCATGACAGTAATATAATTGGTGAAAAGATTTATCATTATCAATCGAAGTGTGACCTATATATTTTCGTGAAAAAGACTGAGGAGGCAGCGAGCGTAGGAATATGAAAACTTTTTATTTGCTTTTCTGGGGAAAAAGTGATTTTCTTAAAATCTTTTAACGTTAATTTTGTTTTCTTTAACGTATTAAATATACATGATTATTCTTAATATTTGTTGTAATGTTTTATCTACTGATCATGAATGGAACTATTTTCTTCGGAGCAATTGTGTGAAGAGTACCTGACTTTAGTAATATATCTTGAATAGATAATATGCACTGATCGAATATATTAAAAATTTCTATCACTGATCTAAAAATTCCTTGACCAAAAAAAAAAGAGAAGAAATCTTTTCAAATGCTCAGTACAAAATTCACAACTGCATGTTTAAAGAAGAAAAAATATAAATCACTAGGTCTAAAGTTTAACCTGAAATCACCTTTTGAACCTTCAGATTAAAAAGTTTAATCTTATATACACCAACTTTTTATTTAATTTTACACAATGTAACTGTCAGACTTCAGAATTTAAGTAGAATACATTAGAATAATACATTTTTTGTTACTTTTCTCTCTCTGCTGTGTGTGTCAAAGAAAAAGTCATTCATTCCTTGACCAAATTCACATCTCATTCAAAAATATACAAGATTCAATGTGAATGAAAAAAAAAAAAAAAACACTTGATGGATTACCTCTGTTAAATATTATTGGTTCTTAAATCCTTGAGAGAAGCTTAACCGATGTTCAATTACCATTAAAATAATGTATGGACAAATAGGTGCAACTAAACATAAAATCTGAACTTATTAGGACATTTTCGTGTCCATTATCCAATGAAACAAAATACTCCATGTCTAACACAATTAAAATCAAACACTGAAGACTGAACTAGAATGCAGACTCAATTAAGAAAAAAAACAAAAAAAACAATCAACAAATTTCTCAATTTCTGAGGGGAAAAAAAAATAAAAGGATAAATTATAGATCTTAAGTTTATAACATGTGAAATATAAGAGAAAATAAAATCTTAATTTACCTTGTAAACTCATGAAGTGCTCAAGATACCGTAAACGTCCATTTATCAAATATCGTACTTACATAATTTATAAAGCCAAGACCCCCTTAAATATATGCATTACATCAACCCAATAGCTTTCTATTGATGTAAAAAAGACCTAATAAGATTACACTTATGTTTTGGTATATCTGAAATTGGATTGGAAATTTAAATCTTCTCTGTTATTATTGAACATTTAGTTTTTCTCATGTCAACAATAAATCCTATAGAAAAGCCATAACAAGATAAATACCTGTAAAATCCTTTCAAAGGTTTATCACGTACGACACCTATCCTTTCATTTATACCTTCAGACCACAATTCACAAAATTATGCATTTTGCTATTGTCTACTTGCACCAAATTTCAGCTAAAACTGCAGTACATGTAATAGCCAAAGACTTAAAAAGAATTAAAAAGATTTTTCTATTCTGAGTACTGCAACTTATTTCATCAAAATTTATTTAATTAATTCATGTAACTATGCTTAATACCTAAAGAGTGTCAAGTCAACATGAAAAACTGTAAGAGTAAATACAATTACAAATGTATTTAACTGATTATTTTAATCTTAATAGACATCTAAACACCTTCCAGAAACATTAAAAAAGTAACTCAAAGAACTATGGTATACATCTCATGACAGTTTCCAGGGGTACCAAGTTTAATTAAGACCAGGCCCAAACTGTAGGAGAAATTATAGCATTCTAATTGAATTTACCACATTAGACAGTTTCATAAACCATGGCAACACATGTACCTGTAATTTAAAGAACTTAACAGTTCAATCTATCTAAATGTAACCATGACAAACAGCAATCATCAAAAGACCGTTGATTGATCTTGGCCCCAAAACAACAAAAATTCTTGCAAAAATCTTAAACTTCATATCTTAAATCATTTTCTGTATATTAAATGTGATTTTGTCAATTTCATTTATTTAATCATTTAGTTTACATATGCATAGCTATATGACACAAAGTAGCAAAATATGATTTTTATGCATTCTAATGATATAGATGCATTTGTGCTCCACAGAGTCCAGGGTTTGCAGTGAGAATTTGGAGGTTGATGATTTTTTAGTATAAACAAGGTATTAAAGAAAACCAAACTTTTGCAATCTTGAGAGAAGTGTAAGCCCTAGGTACTTGGTACCAATTATAACACATTTGCAGACACACTGTCCATCTTGGAGACTTTGGGCCAAATCTCTTTATGACAAATTCATACAAAGTTATCTAACATTAGATAACATGGGGAGATAGCGTATATTAGAAGTAGGTCACATTTCCTAACCTAATAAAAGTTTTCATTCCAACTAAATTTTGAATTTGCTAAATTTAGAAACATTTTAGAGTCCAAAATCCAGCAACCCTATAATCAATATCTTATCAAAACTCAATTCAGCTACATTTTTCACAACTTTAAAGGCTGATTGGGGATCAAGTCAAGCCTTCCCCTGATACAAGTAATTTGATATTTTTATTGCCAGATTACACAGCACATTCTCCAATGCAGGTAACAGGTACCTAAGAAAAGAATGCATTTCTTTACATAACTGACCCCCAAAAAACTACAAGTAATCTTAAAATTAGGGTAGGTGGGGTGAATTACGCTTACAAATTGAGACCAAAACTAAGCCCTCAAGACTAGAGACGTCTGATTTACTGTATACTAGTTTTAACCAGTTAAGAAACATGGAAACATTTAGCCTGCATCCATAATCTTTTCTCTCTAGTCCATCAGTATAGATTTTTTTCTATGAAAAAATTAATATGTTGAAAGCAACAAGACAGCACTGACTAAAGAACAAAGTCTTTGACCAATAAATAATACTTCCTGCCAAACAACATAAAATAACTTGCCCAAACTGGTTGTTTACATCCATATAAGAGGAAATTAAAATACAAGCTTATAGCTAATACACCCATAATTCAGAATGGACAGGGATAATGGTATAGCTTGAATTGTTGTCAGCAATGATTAAGATAAGACTGCTACAGTGTAAGACTTTGATCCTGTGACTTATTGGTCAGACTCAGAAACCACTGGTGCCAATAAGGACTGTATTGATTGGTAATTAGTGGACGAGAAGACTTATCAAATTACACAGGCTGCAGGTGCTGCATGTTGTTGTGGGTATCAGATAAACTCATTAGAAGCAGTCCCCTGGAGGTCAGCTTCCAGAAATCAACTCTCAGAATAATATACCTAACCATTCATCAAAGGCTCTGTGGCAACCAGAAATCAACTCTCAGAATAATACACCTAACCATTCATCAAAGTCTGTGTGGCAACCAGAAAAGTTCCCAAACAAAATGACTACTAAATCAAGCCCCCCCCCCCCCCCATATGTATAGCCCTTCTTTCACACTATCTAATAAGAACACACAGGTATGCAAATCTCTACAAAATCCTCCTGCAATTTTTATTTATTAGTCAGGATCTTTTATTCATGATAAAATAAGAATATTTCAGAAACTCTAGACCAAAAACTATTAGTATTGCAAGTAATCAATGGATCGCATAGCTAGCCAAGGCAAATAAATTAAATCTTCACCATCATATTACCATGTAGAATTATAACCACCATAAATTATAAGAACTATGACTTTCTACTTCAGCTCTCTTCAGCAAAGGTTATCATAATGGACTCAGGTATATTGATTGTATGAGGATGTGCACACAGTCACGATATTGTTCGTATAATCTGTAATATTTGCACCAGTTATTCTGTTCTTTTCTCCTGATTACAAACCTCGCCCTCCTCATCCCCCTTGCAGGGACTATTGACAGGGGTGGGGTCCCCATCTCCTAATTCTGGAGTCAGTTGGCAATCACAGGAGTGATTGTTCACATAGCCACTGGTCAGGAAACAGTTATCTCCTCCTGTGGGAGTCACAGGGGTGGTGGTACCACTGAGGCACAGCCCAATATCCTCCTACAAACCAATAACAACTGATACAGCTAAAAAATCTCACAAAGAAGTATTTACCTATAGGACAAATCTTGCTCAGGATGTAAAACATTGCCTAATGCAATTGTACCTTGTTTCCATTTAAAATGGTTAAAGAAAAGCTTAAACATATTGTAGAGTTTATACTGCAGCATTCATTTACAACATTTTCCAGATCTTGGAGTATCATTCTACTTTTCTGGTTACCTGGGATACCTGATGTACTTATATATACCTGTGCCTGCTGTAGATACAACTCAAAAGTTGCATAATCCTCTATAGTCTGGCTTCCCATCACATTGTCCTTAGTCACGCCTCCATCATAGCACACTCAATAAAGTCACAAATCTGCAAAAATTCAAAGATAATCTCAAAACTGCACAAACAATATACATTAAAATGATTAATACCACATTCTTTCACTGAATTTTTATTTTGCTTTCTGTAAATAAAATACAGGATAAAACCCTGAAAAGACTGCAGTGAAAAAAAAAATTAGAAAAAACAAAATAACAAAATGGAAAGATATCAAAAATTTAATTGAGTGAAAACATTTTTTTTTCTTAATTTAGCAAATGCAAATATGACTATGTATCACAAATAATAATAATGCCAAGCCTGTAGGTTGAGCAATCATTATTTGATCAATCCAGCTTTCAGCTAAAATGCTCATATACTGTCAAACATTATCCTGAACTCAATGGGACCACAAAAAGACTTCAAGAAATCCAAGGATTCAAAGATATTCAGGGTTAATTACTTAAATGAGAAGTGCTGGAACTTCCAAATCACTCCAATATATCCCTGGTATTTGAGATATTGGTGCTCTAGTTACTGAAATTTAACTGTATTTTCAAAACATTTCATTCTGTCAAAGGTTTACAAAATTAGCTCCAGTAAACTATCCTTCTACATAAACAGAGGAGTCAAGTTTCCGATTTCTCTCATAATAATCCCGTAGTTTATACCACATAAATGTTTTCTTTCACAAAGTCCCACCAGCCGTTATTGTTTGTGGGTACTCATTTACACTTGCTAACATTTATTATCTAACATAGTATCTGTAATTATTCAGCTTAAACTCCTTGGAGAATATCATCTTAATGGACAGCAAGTAAACTCGATCACGCAATGCCTTCTTTGTGCCATGAGGCTCCCTGTGAAAACTGATCTTTGACAATTTCATTAAACTTTTTTGTTAATCAGCCACTAAACATGATTAAATTATCAATGGGACCTTTCCAAGGCAGATAACCTTAAACCACTGGTTATTTTACTCACATTACTTAACACCTGTTTTCATGCTCACAGATAGCTTTCTCAGATGAGCTATGATAATGTCTTGTGCAAAATGCTTCACAAGCTGGCAATGAACATCTAGATGATCACAGACCATTATTTATTTGACTTCTCTGCTGTAAACCCAGATCTTCAATGACTGTCATCATGCAAGGACTTAAGAACTAATGCAAAATCAACAATTCAAATTACCAGTGAGTTTTGTTTTGAGTTTTGAGAATTCAGTGGATCAAGTAAAACACAAACCTTAAGAAGACTTTTATATCTGCTTGCCTGTATTTATTACTATTAAACCTTAATGGATGATGTGACAAGGGATCAATGAATGCAAAATGTTACACAATTGTAATTAAACCAATGACAACAGCATCGAAATAAACCCTACCACATACAATAGCTCTCAAATTTGTCATGAATTGGTAATGAAACTAAAATTTATCTTTTTGTCATGCAAATTGACTGAAGCATAGGCAAAGATTTATGCTTGGTAAATGACAATAGGATATTGATGGGGACAAAACTTTAATCAGAATACCTCCTAAAGGACGTTTTCTGGGGTTAAACTTACCTACGGTCCTGATGCATCATAGCAATTATCACAAGTCGAGAGCAGGAAACAAGAGATGTGCATGCGAGTTTGTCTTATTCCATGTTAGAAATAATTAAACTACCCACAGGCTAACTTAGAGACATGGAATCAATGAATTGCAGGAAATGAGTAACCCTCAATTATTGAAAATGAGCTCCACTGCATTTTTAGACCAGACGAATTGGGGAGATTCACCACTGGGCTATTTCCACATTTCTATTTCAGTTGGATAGATATTGAGTACAGATGCTGTGTAGGTTTCAAAGGTGTCTACCTGCTGATGCAAATCTATGTAAATTGTATCAGAGTGCTTTACAGTGTGAAAATATACCATAGATTTTTTAAGTTGTTGAAGGTTATGGAAACTGGCTTCAAGTTAGAGAGGTGAAGAAAACAATGGCAAAAGGCAGGTGCTAAAATATCAAATTCTCAATAATTCAAATTAAGTATTTATATTGCTATGCAAGTTGAAAATTTGAAACTTCTGGCCCTTTACATTAAAAAGTCATTTGTCATTTGAGAAAATTGAACTGAAAATGTTGAGGTATTAACTACACAAAACACAATCATGGCGTTAGTCATGAAATGTGTTATGATACATACAGGTAATTTAAAAATCTTTGGTCATTTTCATTGGTGGTTTGCACCTGGAAAAATGACTTGCCAAAAGAAATTTGGTTTTCAATGCTATTGAATATACCTGAAAGGTATTTCCTATTTGAGTGCTTTTTTCTTCATTACATGCACAAGACATGCAATTTTTACCAAAGAATTAAAATATAGAAAGGTAACTAGTACATATTATTCAATGATATTTATTATATTAAAAAACTAGCAGATCTAGAATATTAAGCTAAGGTCAGTCAAAAAAAAACAACTTCACAACATGGTCTCTATGTGATCTGGGCTACTGTGACGTTTTCACGCTGAGTTAGCCAGTGATAATCATCAGAAGGGGAGATAATTCAGGGTTTTTGTCTGATAACATGATATACACTGACCTGAAATCTGTAGGAACTTCCGATCTTAGCACTAGCAAATAGTAAATCGGTAACAATTCATATTTATGTCATTACTATAGAAATCTTTGGCAACTGATGAGTTTGTGAATGAATTGGCAAATATAAATGGGTAAACATAACTCCATAATACAATTTCACAGATTCAAAGCTATAATTAAAACATATAGACATTAAATCATCAAATTCTGTATTGCACAATGTCATAACACAAGGACTTGAACTTGAAGGTGTGCATACATTTCTTCATTTGATTCTTATAGTTACCTTCTTAATGTTTGTTTAATTTCTATTTAATACTGAGAAACATTAATTCTTTTAAAATAATATCTCAATTAATACCCAGGATGTTTTTTTCAAAGTTTTATACAATGTCCTGATGTATCAATATGACAAGATGTTTTGCATTGCATATTGGCACATTAAATTGAAGCTCTCATAAGGGTTTCTGAGGAACATTGGAATGTAAACTAACAAGTGTCCCTCATATTCCATTTCCTGTTGGTAACATTGTTACATTGAAATTTTGATTTACTATCTAAAATATTCATTTTCACTCATGGTCAGGCCAAGATCCTACTTGCCATCTGATTTCCATTTTTGTGTTGCCTGCAGAGCAGTGGTACTTAGGAATCACTGTACCCGACTTCTGTCTGTTTGTCCGTCTGTCTGTCTGTCACACCTTGCATCTAAAGAACTGTAAGAGATATGGACTTGATATTTTGCATATATATTGCATGGCAATATAGCTTTTTTAAATTCCATGGTTACTGACCTTGTGACCCTTGACCTAATTTAAATTACAAAAAATTTAAATAGTGCCAATATACAGCACATTTTAGATATTTAAGAGGTAAGTCTATGCTATTTAGCATGTGCACTGATTGTCATAAAACATGAAAAATACCAGCGTTACAATTCATTTGACCTTGACCTTTGACCTACTTTGCAAAAAATACCCCGAACAGTTTAAGTCTGTTGAATTTTGAGAGGCGGAGTGTTGATAATTAGCATTTATACATGTTTATGAGCTCATGATACTGAACTTTAAACAGTATGTTATTCAGTTATCACACATACTGATATTTAATTAAATACTATTTCTTTGTCAGATTCTATCATAGTCTTATACTGGATGCTTTTTTCTGCATGAACTATCATGCTAGTACATGTAGTAAATAAATAGCTAACTACACTTAGATTTATTTATATCTTTAAATGAAGCTACAAAGCAGGCAGCACATGCGTTCCTTGGAACACTCAAGTTATGCCTAGTTAGGATATTTTATATTAACATTTATACAATATATATACAGTATTGTTTTACTTAATGACAAAAATGACAGGGAAGTGACACCAAGCCATTATCCTGACCAGTGATGATTAAATCTCCCAGGAAAAGACAAGATAATCAAATTATCTCGGACCATCCAAATTCACTGCACTTAAATGCATCAAATTCAGATTTTATGCTAATACTTGCCTGACTATTGGTCATCTGTCCATCAAGAAGGATGAGATTGCGGTTCTAGACTATCATTAATACAAATTATAGGAGAAAATCACCAGGAAATACACTCTAAAAGTGACTGCAAGTGAAGGAGGAATGAGTCAGTGATACAATACATGACATTGGTGTGAGTGGACAATATGGTATTAGAATTCCAGTAAAGCAACAAATCATAATTCCATCCCCTCTCTGTCTGCCTGCCTCATCAGAGAGTCCCCACAGGGTCGGACCTCAAAACTGGTTTTTCATCAAGAATCAGAAAATTTCCTGGGAAGATAACTGTTGACAGGTACCCCACAGTGAAACAACATGTTCCTCAAAGACTTTCTAGTAAATCTGGTGTTGTAATGCGTCAATTACCAGTCTGGCTGTCTACTGCTTTGCAGGCTCTTCACCTTCTGGTCAGTCTTAACCAATCAGATGGGGAGTATCAGTCAGGATCAGCAGCCAGAGGTCAATTTCATTCATTCAGATTACTAGTATCTACCTATCTTAACAGTAGATCACTGATGCCCTCTGCTACTGCCAGGTCAACTTTTATTGGTAATTCCCAAGTTAATTCATAAATATCCCAGTAATCTACACTCACAAATTCTAAGGACAAACCAAGACTTCTTTCCAACTTGATTCGCAATGTTTTAATTATTTTTATTTCATTTTTAAACTTCCTGTACTCTAGAGAAATTGACTTCTGTGAACTTTATCTGTTAGGAATTGCCACTAATGAGAAGTTTTTCCAGATAAGACATTGACACCTATACAACCACAACTGAGGTGGTCTTGGGCTTCCTATAAACCACTGTTTTAGACAGAGAGTAAAAACCCAGAAAATATCTCCAGAGAAATCTCTACTTGTATCATTTCCTGATATTTGTCAATTTGGTGATTTTCTGCCATAAGAATGATAATTGAAGGATTCTGTGTTGTATTTCAGGAAGACATTATTTCCAAATATTCCACTACAGGAAGAATGAAAGGTTCTGTCTTGTAACTGGGATATTGATTCACTTCTTATAGTCCCCCAAACAAAATTAATCTAATGTTTAAACTCAATTTGCAAATGAATAAAAGCTAACAAAATTGTATCTTAATGTACTTGATTTTCAGTTCTCTTTACTATTTCAAGTACAAATGAAATAAAAACCGATTTGTTCACACATCAAGGAAATATACTATTCATGAGAAGAACTGGGAATGCTCAATGAAAAGACTCAGGAATTTTTTACAATTTTCCTCTGTTAATTGATTCTGCCCCTGTAAAAACAACTTTTTTTTCAATTTCAGGGTAAAGTGGTTCTGTAGAGGAAAAAACGTGTAAACAAGACCTGGTGTAATTGCCCTCATCCATATGCTACTGAACTGAAATAGCCTGTCTGTTGTAAAACTGGTTCCTCCAAACTTGCAACCAGTTCTTGAATGAATGGTATTCAAGCTAATTTCTCTATCTACAACTCTATATCATAGCAATGCTGCATTTACAATGTATAAAAAGCAGGTTAAACACTTTACATGACAAAATCACAGAGAAATATGCAAGATCAATGAAAAGATTATCTGTTTGATGGGCATTAACAACCAGTTTATGGCATACTTAGACTTGTCGTGGCATTATCTTTAGTGAGATAGTAAGCAAGACATGAATAGATGTACTTAGCACCTGCATAACATTTGCATGTCTGCATGCACACAGAAACACCTGCCTAGGCTCCCACAGTTGTCAAGCTTAACTAGCAAAATTATTTAAAATAGTTCAACATTTTGAAAGAAAATAATTCTAAGCAAACCTAAAACTCTAATAAAACAAATAAATGCAGTATATACCATGCCAAAATTGCCCTCGTCTAATTTTGACACCTCGATCATTGAACTGAAGGTTAACTGAAATGCAATCCACATGCACATATTAAGTTCACCTGTCAGTAAATCAAAGGTGCATGAGTGAAAAACAAAAATTATCCATCTTAATATATAGTATAATGCTCTATATTCTCCAGAACTGTTTCTTTGATATAATGTAATTCTGATAAGTTAGATACTTACAGTGCATGCACTAGAAATGTTTAATCCATTCCTTACTAGTAGATCTTTCTGGTATACTGTTGACAGTGGATTACCAAGCTATAGGCACTGGGTCAGCACAAATTAATTACATCAAATCCTGACTTTAGGGCCCCCTTTATCTACCTGAGTGACCTTGACCTTATAGGTTTCTTACTTATATGTATATTTACAAAATTGGAGATAAAGTCCAATGATTTTACAACACCAATCTACTAAATACAGACTTTATAATGGCCAGTTTCCAGATATCTATGTATTTACTCGGCAGAATGAATGACTATATAAGCTTAGTACCAACCCTATGTCCAAGACCCAGACAAAATGTCCACAGCTATCAGATATTTATCAAACTTGAGGTGTAAGAATGTTTATCAGACAAACAGTATTCTGCCTCCATTAAGGTATGATCTGAGATAGTTTACGTTTGACATAGTGTGGTCATTCAAGTTTAATGATCAGATAAATGGCCAAGACTTAAATGCCCACCACACAAGACCTTTATAAAGAAAGTGTCACCTAAATGTTTATTGGAAAACATTGACTTTTCTTGCATTGACCTGATCTATCATGGAGATTGATATCGTTACATTTTACTAGACAATACTGTACTTACTTATATGTTTAGACCTGCGAAACAAAGAAATGTCCATCTTAATTTGTCCGTTAAGGAATCAGCATAGAGTACATTATCATTTCTCACTTGTAATGTATTGTAATGGTCAGTCGCTCCATAAACCAGCAGGAAACTAATGCCCATTAATTAAGTCTTTATTCCTACCTGTTTAACACAGCTGGGAGTGCAGCTATATTTCATCATATGTTGTTATCAGGTAAAGGAAAAATACTAATGACAAATGTCACATTAAATGGGAAATATGACACGTCATGTATCAAATAAATATACCTGTACCAGCAGCCCAAATCCACACAGTTTTCACCTGATCTGTTACCTTAATTACAGGTGTAAACTGGAGTCTGACCCCTTCCACCTACCTGGTCATTACATTAAATCAGAGAGATGTGGCTGGAAACAGAAAGCACCTCTTATTGAAGGCTAATTAACCTGAACTTATTCTAAATACCTGTGATTCATTTTCTTACATATGCCAAGTTTATAATTGCTCTCTTTCATAAAGGAACATATTATAGAAAGGAACAGTTGCTTTGGCATGCAATATTAAGTACTTTGTTGGCTTTATGACAGAACCATATGGAACCTCACAGGATTAACGGTGTCTGATTCACCTGGCCTCTTAAAACAAAAATTTAATTCCATTTGACAACTTCCTAAATCCAAAGATTAAAAAATTAAGTGCACATTCACAAAATAATGGCCTGATTTTTATTTATACCATATATGTAAGTGTACAAATATTTTCAAAATTAATGAAGGAATACAATTTTAAAAATTAGAATAATTTTTTCTCTTGCAAAATATGCTATTTTTTTCCACTACTGATATCAAATGATGTATAACTACTTGTTGTGCAACTCAAGTACATGGAAGCTTACATTTATAATTGAATAAATTAATGCATTTTCAAGGACAAAAAATGTGATACTCTTTAAGTCAAGAGTCTTCACATCTGGAAATGAAAATTCCAAGAATGTTTCCAATGTCCTGGGAACTCTCAAGAAGGGGATATCAAAATGAATGCTTTCTTGTTTGTATATGTGATTTTAATCAAACGACATGCAGATTGAACATAGAGAGGGCTGCACTTGCTACAGTTATTATCAAAACCTGTCTATACACTTGAAATAAGTTGATAAGGAAATGACCAATTAGATCACTTCCCATAAGTATATCTACTGAATTAATCTTAGAAGAATAATGATTATGTTCAAAGATAAAAGAATTCTAATAAAAATTGTCATGAAGTATTATACATGGGAAAATTCAAGTTGAAACTTTCATTATTTCTTGTAAATAATTTCTTTCAATGTTTTTCTAAGTCTTAACATATGTTTTCTTCAATTCAATACTGGGGGAAAAATTTAAACATATATAAATTTTGAAAAATTTTTATGAAATCATGCCAACATCTAACCTGTGTACTTTTCTTCAAAGAGTCCAACTTAGTCCAGTTACAAGGAGTTCAAACAGCATAAGAAAAAATAAAAGCACAAAGTTCTTCTCGGTTGATTAATCCATATTGGTTGAAGGGCACCTGCAGAAATAGATAGAATTTCATTAAAAACTTTACAAACTTGATTCTATACAGTAAACAGTTTGTGCAATTGATTTCAAGAACTCCAATCATTTCTGAAATTTAAACGAATTGACTCCACCTAAGTCATGTTTACACTGGGCTACATCAAAATGTAGCTTTGCCACTGCATTATATAACATGCATTGACCAGGACTTGCCTGATGCTGTACCTATGTTGACAATAAAGCCCTGCTGCTTAGTTAGAAGTTAATAAGCCCATCATTGGCTGGACAATGGCTATAATGGACACTTGCCACAACAAAGACAGATGTTCCTGTCCTATAGAAGACCACACTTGAAAATCAATTTTCTTGTAACTTCTATAAAACAACTCCCCTCTGAAGAAGAAGTGCTTGTCAAACACAGCACTGCTTGATCAAGTTTGAAGGTTGTTTTTTTTTTCTGCAACTGATCGATACACTCCAAGCCTTCCAACACTTCACAGATGCTAAGAAACAGGGATAATTAGGCTTATACCTACCTTTACACATATTTGAAAACCAGCCTAATTAAATTAGAATCTGACCTTGTTCCATAACACTGCAGAGGTGTATCCAAGAGAGTACCGGTATTTCAAAAAGCACACACTTATGCGCTACTTTCTTTCCAGGTAAATTTGTGTAATGAGCACAGTAATCCGTTTGTCAGAAAGAAAGGGAACAATTTTACTGACAAATCATATCTCCATGGTATCCTCTCTGTGAAATAGTAAAGGTCAGTTTGATTGTCTCCACAGTCTAACTTATCAGTATTGGGAATTAAATGATTAAAACAGTACAAACAATCCAAAGAGGGGCGCCAACACTGCCCAGTTGATATCAGTCCCTCGCCACCTCAGAAGACAATTTCCTATAACTTTGGTATTACCTCCAAATATATACAGCTTATACTCAATGCACACAAGGTGATATATCTTTTTTTTTTTTTAAAAAGCCAATCTTCATTTTATTTTCTGCCAGTCTTTGAAATTCTAATTTACAAATCCTGTATTTTGTTTACAGATATTTTCAGACTTTACCTCCTCAATGCAGACAAGATCTTTTTCTTTCCAAAATCTACATACTGCAGTATCTGACGGGACCTAGAAAAGACAATGAAATTAAAATTATTTAACCCCTGGGAAGAAAATCATTTAAAGTCACTTAAAAAACTTCAAAAAGATTAGGAAGATAAACTATCTGTCATGAAATTCTGCTATGAGACAGAACAGCAATGTGTATAACATTTTTTCCTTGACTCTGTAAAACAAAACTCCTAAAGATCTCTATCTCTCTATAGTGCCACTGTAAGGCAAGTAAGCAATAAACTGATGCATTAACTTTACAAAAAATACATTCAGCACACTAGATCATCAACTTGCAAATTACCTGATTCTTTTCTCTGGCTAATGCTTATTAATTGATTAACATATACTGAATAAAAGAAACCATTAGTGGGGTAAAAAATTCAATATGTTTTACTTGGCACTCCTTTATATAAAATTATCAAATTGGTTCCTAGTTTGTAAAGCAAAACTACTGACACATGTTAGACACAAAAACTCAATAAACAACATTAGCCATAGTACTAAAATAAGCAACAATTCTATTATTAATTAATAGGACTTTATGTACCAATGCTTAATTCAAATGGAAAATTAAACCTTTCACACAACACCAAAGTTAAACAAATCATGAATTAAGAAAATTGTTAATCTGTCTATATGCATATTATACATGTACATGTATATCAATAAGAATAGACATGATCAGCCATTAATCAAAGTTGTAGGTCATGTACAATTTTTCAAAGAAAAAGCAGAATTCCAGCCACTTTGTCACTCAGTTTTTCCACTTAAATAATCCTATTTCTTATTTGAAGAAATGAGATTTTCTCTAATACTTCAATATCCCATAACCCTCAGACAAATAATGTACACTATATATATATATATAAAAGTAAGTACTCATTCTAGTGACATACCTATCAGATTAACAGATCAGTCAGCACTATCATATGATCTCTTCATCTTTAATCCAGCAGCTTTTTAAGATGTAGTTGTTCAATTTCAACTCCTCACTCTAAAATTCTATATAATCCTGATTCACATGCAGTTCAATTGAAAAAAAGTGGATATTTGCACACAAGAGACACCAGTGGACTAACACACCTGTCCTTTGTACACGGAAGACATGGAACTGGTGCTACCTGAAAATGTGTCAATCATCACCAACGGATTCCAAGCTTCTAACCTTACTCTCCTTATCTCATAAAACCCACCAACTACAGCCACAAATTAGACAAACCATTCAGCTGCTTATTGCTTTACCACAAACTTCATGCCAGACTAAGTTTTTCATTTGGAGAGCCAATGCTTCACCATTGCTTACACTGGGGGCACCTGCCCCACAGAAAGAGGATATATATCATAGAGCACTTGACCAAACAAATCCCCAATCTCTGCCAATCATTTTATGGCTGCAATCTGTTGCTGCTGGAATATTTGGAGGAGATTGTGATGATTTTTTTAATCTTAATTTTCATCCAATATCAGACAAGTTTCCAACCGTGCAAGGTGAAAGATGTTCAGATTGAGAAACCAGCATTTTTTTTTTTTATCCTGGCAGAACTTTTTTTTTATGTTTATCTGTTTATAATACTTCCTAAGAATACATCACCCATCATGTATTTTTAGACTCAAAATATCTAGCAAATATGAATGAAATATATATGAATGAAATATATATGAATGTTGGGGTCAAGGTCTTATAAGCGATGTACAGAAAAATCGCATCTAATGTAATCTAGTTTTTAAAGAATACAGAAGGGCAAATTATTACATTTTAAATGAAGCAAACTCAGTCTACTAAATGTGAAGGTTTTGTAATGTTTTTCTCTATATACATAATAGTACATGATTAATGCTCCATTCTGTGTATATAGTACAGGGGAAGCTATCATGGGCACTGTCTGACATTGATCTGTTAAGCTCTATTGACTTTTTTTCTTCTATTTCTCATGTTTCAAGTAGTACTTAAGATAAAGTAGAATATGGTTGTACTATACCTGTAAAATTATAAATATTATTTTAAAGATTTATTTATGAATGAAATCTTTATTGCCTTTTGTCAGCAAATTATTGTGCAAGATCAAGTGCACCATATGTTACTAATCTTGTGACACAAGGTAACTGACCGTAAAACAAAGTAAAACAAAATCACCCTGTCGCCAACATGAAGTGGTTAAAGGTGAAGGAGGGGTTGCTGGTGGACTAAATTGTGTTATTTATAAACAGAGAACTGCTGTAAATCTTCATTATGCCATATTGCCAATAAGATGAGCAAAGCCTATTAAACTGGTGTAAACATTCTAAAGATTAAGTAAATACCTCTCAGATTTACTTCTAATGATAACTGTGATTCCAAGTTTCTTCCTCAAAGTGCAGTAAAGTCCTAAGAAATACCAGATTCTCAATCCAGTAGCACAGGCACAATACTTTAATTGACATTGGTCGTGGCTCAGGAGCACTTTACTGTTAAAAGTTATCTAGATTTAGCATATCTAATGACAGACAAATGGGTGGAAGACAGTAGAAGATTGTGTATGTATGACATCATATTGTACACATTAAAAAGAAATATATGACATGGATGCCAGAGATGTCATGAACCCTTTATAGATTCTGCTAAAACTTATAAATCCAGTAGTAAACATCCCCTCCCACATCTTATCTAATTACTGACTGGTCCCAGTCAATTATTTAAAAGGTTAAGTATGAATGGAAGCAAAAAAAAAAAAAAAATATTCAACAAAAATAATATATAAATAATTTATATATGATGAAGAAAATATTTTAAAATTCACAATGGCACAGAATTTCAATTTGAAAGCAAATTTCAAATGAGGAAGACAGATACATGGTTAAAATTGAAAGATGGTACAATTGTTATTAATAAGAGTATTTAGGAGATCCTGTGACCTTATAAAGTTTAAATTATTTCATTATCATGGTTAGACTTATGATAAGCATTTTCTAGTTCTATTCATTCTTTGAAATCTACAAAACGCAAAGATAATGTTAAAAAACCCCCAAAAAACAGGGACCACATATTCCCAGCCCACCCACTGATTCCTTATGTTTCATGTTTACAAGCAACTACCCTCTTGTTCACTCCCACTAAAATGTGTAAATGGGTTTTCTATCTATTTATTATTTTTTAAATGTCAAACATCATATCACTAACATTGTATCAAATTGCAAGTACAATGCTCAAGGTACCTCAGCATACATAACATACAAACCAGTATTTCTTATCCTTTTTCTCCAATGAATGAAATCTTGAAAATACTTTCAGTGGGTCATATATATCTTAGTCTCTTGTAAGAAAGTGCTATTCAAAATCAATCAATGTTACACTGGGTAGTTTTGAATAGTTATGTGCAGGTTTCAAAATAGACAAAATATTCAAAAACTAGAAATATGTCCATAGGACATGAATGCCCGGCCGAGAGTATATTAGTAATGTAACATTTTAACACAAATTGAGAAAAGTGAGGTCAAGGTCAAAGGAAAGGTCAAGGTGAAAAAATATTGATGCAGTTGAATAGCTTACATCAGTATTTATCATCATATGAAGTTTGACACTAATTTAAGAAAAGTCAGGTCAAGGTCAAAGAAAAGGTCAAGGTCAAAAATTGTTGATACAGTTGAAAAGGTTAATTCAGTATGTATTAGCATATGAAGTTTGATAAAAATATTATGAATGGTTTCTTTAAAACTGAGCTAAACGCTAATTTAAGAAAAGTGAGGTCAAGGTCAAAGGAAAGGTCAAGGTCAAAAAATTTTGATGCAGTTGAATAGCTCTCATCAGTATGTATCAGCATATGAAGTTTGACACTAATTTAAAGAAAAGTGAGGTCAAGGTCAAAGGAAAGGTCAAGGTCAAAAAATGTTGATGGAGTTGAATAGCTCTCATTAGTGTGTATCATCATATGAAGTTTGATAACACTATCTTGAATGATATCTTTAATACTGAGCTAAAAACTTATTTAAGAAAAGTGAGGTCAAGGTCAAAGGAAAGGTCAAGGTAAAAAATATTGATGCAGTTGAATAGCTCTCATCAGTATGTATCAGCATATGAAGTTTGTTAAAAATATCTTGAATGGTTTCTTTAAAACTGAGCTAAACA